TTTATTCGAATTTCCAATTTTTTTTTTCACGTGCCTATGTTGTAGCATCGCGGTGGTGCTATGTACTTTTCTTTCCTCTTTTGGGATTTTTTTTTTCTTTGTGGAAGGGGGATAATGCCACCAGCACGTAGTGGGTCGAGAGCAAGAGCGGCTCTCAATCTGGAGGAAAAATAAGATCGCGTGCTTCTTCTCTGCTTGAGAGCCAGCCACAACTGACGCATCGCCCTAGAGCTAGCTACTAGGTGGTTTAATAAATTCCCCAGTACTTGTGACTCTCTTTGACAATAGCATAGCACTGTATACATAGTGCAGCAAGGGGATGGGAAAGAAAATTGAGCGTGAGAAGGGGAGAGAGTAAACCATAGCATAGAAAGAATGAGAAAGAGAAATAGAAAGAAATGCATAAAGAGAAAAAATGTAAGAAGCAAAGAAGTAAACACACATAACAGAGAAGATAGCCAAGAAAAAAAAAAGGAAAATTTGTGAAACAGCAAAAGCCAGGACTGTATAGATACCCATCAGCTCCTCTGTCTCTTTAACAATGTGCCTGCAGTGCAAGCTCCAGCAATTTTTTTTTAAAGATTTTGATCTGTCTATCTGTCACATTTTCGCCATTAGGGCTCCTCCATGTCCACTTGCGGTTTTCTCGTTTTCGGTAGAAGGTATTCAAAATCCGTAAATTATTGCGTTCTGCGAATTCTACTAGTAGCTCTCCTCTGGCGTTTCCAGTGCCGATGCCATAATCTTCTACTGCCTGGTCTCCAGCCTGCTTCTCCCCTACCTTTGCATTAAAGTCGCCCATCACTATAGTATACTGTGTTTTTACCTTACTCATTGCCGATTCCACGTCTTCATAGAAGCTTTCAACTGAAGCTTCATCATGGCTGGATGTAGGCACGTAAGCCTGTACCACCTTCATCTTGTATCTTTTGTTGAGTTTAATTACGATACCTACCACCCTTTCATTATTGCTATAGTATTCCTCTATGTTGCCAGCTATGTTTCTGTGAATTAGGAACCCCACTCCCAGTTCTCTTCTGTCAGCCAAGCCCCGATAGCAAAGGACGTGCCCATTCTGTAGCCCCGTACAGGCCTCATCTGTCCTCCTAACCTCACTGAGCCCTATTATATCCCATTTAACACCCTCTAGCTCCTCGAATAGTACAGCTAGACATCCCTCACTAGATAAGGTTCTAGCGTTAAACGTTGCCAAGTTCAGGTTCAGACTTTATAATGACTGCACACCCAGGAATCGTGCAGGATGTGGAAGTGGTTGGCAAGGTACGATGCAGTGACCATTGAATGGTACGGTCTCGAATTCGCCTAGACTTGAAGAAGGAACGACGGAAACTAATACGCCAGAAGGCAATCAATGAGCTAGCACTGAGAGGGAAAGTACAGGAATTCAGAGTGTCACTGCAGAACAGGTACTCGGCTCTTAGTGAGGAAACCAACCTTAGCGTAGATACAATGAATGATAATCTGACGAGTATCATTAAGGAGTGTGCAGTGGAATTTGGAGGCAGGGTAGTTAGACAGGACATTGGCAAGCTTTCCCAGAAACGAAGAACCTAATGAAGAAGTGTCAAATTATGAAAGTGTCAAGTACAACAGACAAAATAGAACTGGCAGAGCTTTCGAAGTTAATTAATAGACGTAAGGTATGCGATGTAAGAAGGTATAACATGGAGAGAATTAAACAGGCTCTGAAAAACGGAGGAAGCGTCAAAGCAGTGAAGAGGAAACTTGGGATAGGCAAAAGTCGGATGTATTCACTAAGAGACAAACAAGGCAAAATAACTACCAATATGGATAGGATAGTTAAAATAGCTGAGGAGTTTTACAGAGATCTGTACAGTAGCCGAGACAACCATGACCTTGATACTATAAGAACTAGGAGTAACCTAGATGACACCCCACCAGTAATGATAAAAGAAATCAGAAAAGCTTTGGAAAGCATGCAAAGAAGCAAAGCTGCTGGTGAAGATCAGGTAACGTCAGATCTGCTGAAAGATGGAGGACAGATTGTGTTAGAAAAACGAGCCACCCTGTTTACGAGGTGTCTCCTGATGGGAAGAGTACCAGAGTCTTGGAAGAACTCTAACATCATCTTAATTCATAAGAAAGGAGATGACAAGTACTTGATGAATTACAGGCCGATTAGCTTGCTCTCTGTGGTATACAAGCTATATACAAAGGTAATTGCTAACAGAGTAAAGAAAACATTAGAATTCAATCAACCAAAGGAACAAGCAGGATTTCGAACAGGCTACTCAACAATTGACCACACTCATACTATCAGCCAGGTAAGAGAGAAATGCTCAGAGTATAACCAACCACTATACATAGTCTTCATAGATTACGAGAAGGCGTTTGATTCAGTAGAAATATCAGTCGTCATGCAGACACTGCGGAATCAGGGCGTAGATGAAGTATATATAAACATTCTGGAAGAAATCTACAGGGGATCAACTGCTATCATAGTGCTTCATAAAGAAAGCAACAGAATACCAATCAAGAATGGTGTAAGGCAGGGGGACACAGTCTCCCCAATGCTATTTACCGCGTGCTTACAGGAGGTTTTCAGAAGCCTAGAATGGGAACAGTTAGGGATAAGAGTTAATTGAGAGTACCTTAGTAACGTGCTCTACGCCGATGACATTGGATTGCTGAGTAACTCAAGGGACGAATTGCAACTCATGATTACGGAGTTAGACAAGGAGAGCAGAAAGGTGGGTCTTAAAATTAATCTGCAGAAAACGAAAGTAATGTACAACAACCTCGGAAAGGAGCAGCACTTCGAAATAGGTAATAGTGCACTTGAAGTTGTAAAAGACTTTGTCTACTTAGGGCAGGTAATAACTGCAGAGCCAAACCACGAGATTGAAGTAACTAAAAGAATAAGAATGGGGTGGAGCATATTCGGCAAGCACTCTCAAATTATGACAAGTAGATTGCCACTATCCCTCAAGAGGAAGGTATATAACAGCTGTATCTTGCCGGTACGTAGCTACGGAGCAGAAACCTGGAGACTTACAAAGAGGGTTCAGCTTAAATTGAGGACGACGCAGCGAGCAATGGAAAGAAAAATGGTAGGTGTAACCTTAAGAGACAAGAAGAGAGCAGAATGGATTAGGGGACAAACAGGGGTTAAGGATATCATAGTTGAAATAAAGAAGAGGAAATGGACATGGGCTGGGCATGTAGCGCGTAGACAGGATAACAGCTGGTCATTAAGGGTAACTAACTGGATTCCCAGAGAAGGGAAGCGGGTTAGGGGGAGACAGAAGGTTAGGTGGGCAGATGAGATTAAGAAGTTTGCGGGTATAAATTGGCAGCAGCAAGCACAGGACCGGGTTAACTGGCGAAACATGGGAAAGGCCTTTGTCCTGCAGTGGACAAAGTCAGGCTGATGATGATGATAATGATAATCTGTCACATGATTCAGCCACCTAACCAAAGTTTAAGTGCTCGCTGAACTCTCCGCCATCTTGAACTGGTGGCGGTGTTCATTATTGGGTACATTGTCAATCAAAAAGCGAATATTATGCATATCTGAGGCACAACATAAATACAAAAGTATTAGGTGGTGTGTTCCTTTACTAGAAAGTAAATAGATGCGTAATTCTAAAGACCCTAGTGTTTCTAAGGTTGTGCTGAAAATGCGACACTATGCTGCCACTTCGCAATGGTGCTGCCACCTGGCAGTGGTCCTGGGTTCTGCACAAGCTAATGTTCCCGACACCACTGCCAGATGGTGTCAATACTGTCTCGCACAGCGTCATATTTCACACGGTTGAGACTGGGATTCATGTAGTACAGCAGACAGAAGACTATAGTCCTCGATAACATTTGCAGGGAAGCACGCAGTTTCACGGCCAATTTTTTCTTAAAAGTTTCACAAGTTACGATGATGATCATATGTACGGTTTCGCATACGCATGTGAGAGCTAAATAAGAGGTAGAGGGAAAGAATGAAGCCTGTATAGGCCAATGCAGCGTAGCAAGGTGAAGTTTGTTGGCTCATGTAGTGTGTTAGAATGCCGTTTTAGATAAAATAGAATAGTTTTGCATGAAACACTCATAGTTTGAACACACGTGCACGCAGCACCAACCTAATTGTATAGCCGAAGAGTGATGCACTTCCTTCATTGCATCCGCAGAAGTGTACATCACCTCGATTGTCTCGTGGGTAGACTGGTCTTCCCTTGAAAAAGTGCTTGACGTTCCCTAGAGAACTGCTGTTTGCTTTCATTGCTGTTGCCCACCCTTTTGAGTCCTGCGCATGATAGCATTGGTGGAAATTAAAGTGTACCTCCCCGGCATCATGCACAGATCGCGATCTAGGCACAGTGCCAAGGACTCTGTCAGCTGCATTTGTTGACAAGAACAGTGCAGCTTCATGTAACAAGTTGCAAAAGGGAATGGTGTATTTGCATAATTTTGTGCGATTTTTCGCCAATTTGTAGCTAGCTTGTTTTTTTTTTTTTTCGTGAAGCATTTTGTGTGAGTTTATTGCCGTAGTTAAGAGGCTTCTGTTGCTGATAGCCACAGGAGCCGCGTGGAGCTAAACATCACTCAAAATTTCACCGTGCATAATGAGTGCACCCTCGTGTCCCTCAGGTCTCCACAAGTTTTTCAATAAAAAGTTGCATTCATTATGTCGGTAAATGTGGTAAAGTATCGAATTGGTAACAAAGACAGTATTTCTGCAAATGTCACTTTATTCTTCAAGGTCTGAAACACGTAATTTGGTCATTCATCTCAAGTACTACACATGAACTGTAAATATATTCTAACAGCATCAAGACACCAAAAGTGAGCAGCTGGTGATGCTAACTTTATGTTCAGAAAGTTGAGCTTATTCACAGACACTTTCTTGTAGTCTATCTCGATGTCTGACCCAGCAGTGTTTTGTGCAAATATGTCAGCACTCTCATTCTTTGCTCATTTTTTTGCTCAAGGTCTTATGGCTCAATACCTATTCTTGATGCATGCAGTTCCACCCGGGGACAAAATGGACAAGGCACGCACCACTGCGGCCCATCACCCTCCATGATGCCATCTCGGACCTGGTTAGCCTGGAGCCGGGAGCGCCTGTGACTGGAACTTGCGAGCCTCTCACGCACTACCAGGAAATGGTTTGTTGCACCAGTTGCCGAAATATTCTAGTTGATATGTTGCTGGTGACATATTGTGTTTGGCTGTGAGTGTCAAGCCATGAGAAGTGCAAGATGTCATGTGCATGAAGTGCGACACAATCTAAGTACATTTGAGGATTCATATCCATATTTTTGCAGGACTAAAAGTGCAAAGCATAGCATCCACTCACATTGTTCATCAAATGTAACATGCTCAGTTTTCCAGAATTTAAATAAAAATGCATTTGTACGTATTGTCACAACATGTTTAAAAACTAAGGCAGGCTGCTATCAAAAAAAAAAAAAGAGGGCCAGCTCGTTGCGTTCTTGAGGTAGTTCCCTTCCTTCAGTGATCCTGTTTTCTGGCTTTGAGGTCATTTCTGGTCATAGGTCTGCAACACGTGTGGAGTCCACTCAGAATCACTCATGAAATAAATTTTGAGCTTTGGACTCATTTTGACTCACTCCCACGAAGCATTTTTTGCGCCGGACTTGTTCGGCCTCAAACTCACCAAAACATTGTTCACCCGGACTCCTTCAGACTCAGACTCATGGCTCAATCTGAGTCTGAGTGAGTCTGGTTGTCACATGTCCTGTTAATCAGGGAGGCGATCGCCGAGCTAATTCTAAGGGCCGAAGTATCGGCCCCCCCCGAACTGCACCACGAAAGCGCGGACAATCTAGAAGTGGTCCTACTTAGCGCACCAGTGGATGCCGGCTGTGGCCCAAAGAATGTCTCAGAGCTGAGAGTTGATAAACAAAACAAAATTATATTCTCAAATATGGCAGATCAAACGATACACAAATATGCACACTCGACAATAGTTGAATACGATATGTCACCAATCAAACAACGTACTACACAGTATAATCAGCTACACTTGAAGCAACGGACATTAATAACAATACGCGCTACAATGCAATCACATGCATCGCACAACCAAGACACTTAAAGACTAAAGAGTTTGAAAACTTGTTCAGTTCAAAGTTCTTGGAACAAATCACTTACTCAAAGTCCAGCACTGTTGTCGATCCACTGCCCCCAAAGTCTTTCTTCCAGAAAATCTCGAGTCTCAATTGGCCGCTCTCCAAGCACCAAACTTCTTCGCCGGTAACACGTCGGCTCCCCACGCGCCGCTGCTGTGACGCGTCTTCGCTCGCTGGTGGTAGACACTCTCTTCTTTTTCTGCTGGTAGCACCAGCCTTGATCGTTCAGGCGGTAACCCTCTTCATTACCTGCTTTGTCACTGACGACTAAAGCCTTCGCCGACACAGCGGAATGACTCTACGCACACTTGCGCAAAAATTGCTTCATCTCCTGCCTACGCACACTCGCGTAAATTGTCTTCGTCTCCTGATCTCCCTTCTCTGCTGCTCAGTTAAATACCTTTCGCACTAGCTTCCAGAAAATTCTAATCGTTTCGTTGGCGCGACGCACAGCCAAGGCTGGGGAAAGTGGGAGACGTTTCGAGAGTCATCTGCGACACGTGACGCAACTCTGCTTCACCGCACCTCTTTCCTTCGAGACCTTTCCAGGGCTTGCTCGGCGGCCGATGTGAGGAGGTTGGTCGGCGAAACTACGCTTCCGAGGGGGGAGAGATGGCACGCCCGGAGAGTCTTTGGATGCTTGTTTTCTTCTTTAGCGTTGACCTTGAGGGGCCCCTCCGGCACCCGGCATCGTCACCGCCGCCAGAACTCGGCGGCGTACTCCCTTTCGGAGCGCTCGTTTGTGACACTGCCTCGCACTTTAAGATTATTAACACATAATATTGTCGGGACCTGAAGACAGAGGTCCTATTTGAAGATGCTGAGAAAGCAGCAGCAGGTCGGTCTTTTTATTTACCGCGCGCCAGAGTTCCTCGTCTTTCTCGTCGTTGCGTTCTGCATAAAAGCGTGCAGATGCGCTGTATGCACTGTCGCTTTCGTCTTTATCGCGGGACGCACGTGACATTTGCCTCCCTCCAAAAATGGCATCGTCCCAATGCGCAGCCAAGGCGCTCTACTTATAAAAACGCACATATGCACCGGCACCCACAGGACAAACGAGAGTTAGCTGGACAAGTAGGGCTTCATCCCGATGACATGCACAATCTCGGGTGAGCGGTTTCGGCGACTGGAACTGCAATCACCGTTGGGAATAACTTCGTAGCTGATGTCGTTCAATCATCGGGTGACTCGATATGGGCCGTAGTATCGTCATAATAGCTTCTCTGAAAGTTCGCGTCGACTTATTGGGATCCAGACCCATACCTTCTCGCCTGGTGTGTAGGTTGCCAATTTACCGTATTTACACGATTGTAAGACGACCCTTTTTTTCAAATTTGACAATCCAATGTTGGGGGGTCGTCTTAGAATTGAAATCGAACCATATGTATTGTCATCTCGAATAGTTTCCCGCTCAACCCAAAGCGCATAGTTTTCCGCGTGCTTATACAAAAGCTTTTCTTTTTTTAGCATCAACTGCGCGCATTACGAGTGCCTTTATGACGAGTGCACGGGTCTTGAGGGAGCACCGGTAATCAATGGAAGAGCCGCCGTAGGGGGGGTATTGGTAGTTGACGGAAGAGCTCCTCTTTGTGATACAATTTTCTAAGCAGGCGCGTCGCCACGTGCTCCTGTCGCTTGTGTCCACGACCGGCTCTCTCGAGTCACTTCTGTCTGACATGAGTGCCGTGACATGAGGACGAAAGTTCGGAATCGGTGAATGTGTGGTGCGGAAGTGGCGGCTTCAGCGCGAGGAAATTTTCTCGTGCGATTCCAAGCGCCGTGGCTTTCGCGGGCCGAAGTCTGGCCGCTTTCCGGAACTAGAGGCGAAGCTTGCGGCCTACGTGAGTTTTTTTTTTTTTTTTCGAGATGCGATTTTGGGGGGGTCGTCTTACAATCGTGTAAATACGGTATGTCGTAGGTCGTACCGTTTCGCATCTTTGTGTTGCTAGTGACAAATACGCACGCGGGCTAGCTGTTGGGCTTCTTCAGTGCGCTGATCAAATTCTTCGGCGTCAGCATGAGTGTCGTCACACTCATGCACCAGCATAGCGTCTAACGTTGTAGTTACTTCGCGCCCATGTATTAAACTAAACACCGTCATTCTAGTAGTTTCTTACCGGGTGGTATTACAGGCGAAGGTCACTTAAGACAAGATTTCATCCCAGTTCTTGGGTTCTGTGTCGACATAAATCCGGAGCATGTCTGCGAGGGCCTTATTAAGCCGCTCTGCTAGTCCGTTTCTTTGTGGATGGTACGCCGTTGTTCTCCGGTGAGCTGTACCGCTGGGCCTAAGAACCGACTCCAAAAGTTCTGCCATGAACGCAGTTCCTCTATCCGTGATGAGAACTGTTGGAGCACCGTGCCGAAGGACGACGTTTTCTATGAAGAAATGAGCCGCTTCTGCTGCTGTGGCCCTCGGCACGGCTTTAGTTTCTGCATAGTGATACAAGTAATCGGTGGCGACAACGATCCATCTGTTCCATGTCTTAGAAGTTGGGGATGGGCCCAGGAAGTCTATTCCGATTTGGGCGAACGGCTTTGCTGGTATTTGGACGGAATGTAATAAACCTGCCGGGGGGTGCTTTGCGTCTTTGACAGTCGGCACAGGTTTGAACGTGATGTTTTACAGCAGCAGGTAGGTTTGGCCAGTAGTAACTGTTTTGCAGATGGGACAATGTTCGAGTGTAGCCGAGATGACCGGAGGTGACTTCATCATGGCAGGCTTCCAGAATTTCTTTTCGCAGTGATGCAGGGACAACGAGCAAGTATGGGCTGCCGGTGGGAGAAAAGTTTTTCTTGTATAGGACGTCGTTTCTTAAACAAAAAGATGGCAGTCCTCTTGCAAAAACTTGCGGCATGTCTTCACGTCGTCCTTCTAAGAAGTCGATAAGCGGAAGCAGGTCAGGGTCACTGTACTGCTCTTGTGAAATAGTGGCCGCGTTGATGACTCCAAAGAAAGCGGCATCCATAGACTCGTCATGAATAGTGGCAGGCTCGACGGGTGAATGCGAGAGGCAGTCTGCGTTGGTGCTTCTTCCTTGATTTATAAATTATCGTCATATCATACTCTTGAAGCCGAAGGCTCCAGTGTGCTTAACGGCTGGATGGGTCTTTCAAGTTAGTGAGCCAGCAAAGAGAGTGGTGATCGCTGACGACCTTAAATGAGCGGTCATACAGATACGGTCGAAATTTGAGAACCGCCCAGACTACGGCAAGGCACTCTTTCTCGGTAGTCGATTAGTTCTCTTCCGTGGGAGAGAGAGCTCTGCTGGCATAGGCTATCACTTTCTCGAAGTTATCTTACCATTGTATCAGTACGGCGGCCAGGCCTACATTGCTTGCGTTGGTGTAAAATGCTGTTGCCGCTTCCTGATCAAAGTGCGCAAGAACCGGAGGTGTTTGGAGGCGTTGGCAAAATTCGTCGAATGCAGTCTTTTCCTTTTCGCCCCAAAGAAAGGGGACATCTTCTCGTGTGAGCCGTGTCATCCCTCCTAAACAACGTTTCTTCTTACAAGTACCTCGGTGTTGACATTTCTAACAACCTGTCATGGCAGGCTCACGTTGACTACATAACATGCAATGCTGATCAAACTCTTGGCTATTTACTTCGAAATTTTTCTCTTGCTCCAATTAACCTAACGCTTCTCCCGTATAAATCATTAGTGTGGCCAAAACTCGAATATGTGTCGTCTATCTGGGATCCTCATATTCATATGCTCATAGACAACATTGAGTCCATTCAGAATCGCTCAGCACGTTTCATATTGTCTAATTACTCTCGAACTGCAAGTGTCACATTAATGAAGGCTCAACTAAATTTGTATAACCTCTCAATAAGACGCAAAAAATCACATCTCTGTCTTTTTCATAAGATCACACTAACAGAAACCTCTCTGATTCACTGTTTTTTCCACCAGCCTACATATCAGCACGCAATGACCATCAATACAAGGTTGGGGTTCCCTTCTGCTATATGAACCAGCACTTTATCTCTTTCATCCCTAGAACATGTA